ATATATATATATATATATATATATATATATATATATATATATATATATATATATATATATATATATATATATATATTTTAAAACAAATAGTTGACTAGATGTTCAGACAACCTACTAACTAGTCAATTATGAAATTTTACGAATGACGCTTTCAGCTTTATAAATAGCACTGTGTGTTTGAGCTCAAAAAGGAAACCTAGGCTTTCTTGAGGGGTTAATTCCTTATAAAAAAGAGTGTGGTGGTAATTCTCAGAATTGCTCATGTGCTGAAGTTTTAGATGTGTGAAGGACAGCACAGGAAACGCTGGGTGTTTTTGAAGAACTAGGCCCCCGTTCATCTGTTCTACCTTCGTTCTTTGTTTCTTGACTCTCTGCTGAGGGACTTGAGGTTTCTTGTAATTGAATGCCCAACAGAGAATCACTTTCTATGATGAGATCAATGTTTTCTCCAAGGTGACAGAAATAGTGTAGGTTCATGACAGCACCACTGTGTATGGTGATTTACCTGAGACTGAAACTTAGTAAAAAGAACAAGCTCCATTTTGAAGATAACTCTTAAAGGTGAAGGGACTGCTCACATCCTCAATATTTTTCTCTCATCCTACAATGAAACAAAACAAAAAAAAGGATATTATAGTCATAAGCAGATTTCACTCAGTTGTTAGCACAGGGTTCATGTTTATGAGCTTAAGACAAAATAAAATCTATGGTAATGGTAAATATTCAAAAAATGAATTAATAAAGATGAAGAGTTATCCCCTTATTTTTCTACTATTTGTTATGAAGAACATCAAGCTGGAAAGAAGATATGAACTCACTGATCTCACAGAGGCAGCGGATGCTGCACAGTGATCTCACACAGGAAATACAACCTGTCAACTACTAACATAGTTTCTAACCTGCCATTTAAAGCCCCACAACAGTTTCATTTAATTTTCTTCTCTTTGTCAATTTGAATACCAAAACCCTCCTGGTCACCAGTTTCTAGTGCAAAGCAACCTGCTAAAGGTCTCTCAAGAATCAAGCTTTATTAGTTTGATTAAAAAAAAAAAAAAAAAGTAAACAATCATTTAAAAGCTACACTATTTTATGCGATCTTGACACAATCTTCTTAGTTGGTTTTTACACTTTCCTAAACTTCCTTACACTTTTCTAAATCTGCTTTGTGATCAGGTTTACAGTATCCAAGTCACTTTCAATCCAAAACAAGGCTATGATTACCTTTAATGCCCTGCACAAGAGGTCAAGTTAAAGGTTAAATTAACCTTGATAACAAAGATAATAATCAGCCTTTCATAGATGATAACCTTATTCATTAAACAGGTATATGATAAACAAAGAAAAGCCACTACTATTTATTCTTTTATTGTAGTGTAGAAAGATAAGCAGTTTCTGTAAATATTAACATATATGCTATAGCTTTCATTCCTTTCCATGAAAGATAAAAAAAAAAAACATTGTAAAGAATTGACAAATGTCCATTGTGGGTAACATAAAAAAACAAAAAAAACAGACGATATTGGAAAACGATTTAAAAAAAAAAAAGATTAGAAAAACAAATTCTTTCACTGTGCTTCTACAAAATTTCCAGTCACCAGATAAAACCATGATTAAAACCACTGTTTATGTGTATGTGTATGTGTATACACACAAAGACCATAACAGATCACATTTTAGATGATCGAAATAACTTTATATCCAAGGTATGACTAGAAAACAAACTTTAACAAGGATCATTTGCCATTTTAAAGCTGTTTGTGTACAATGATCAGTGTGTACAATGATTTCCTCTTGTCCATTTATAGGCCATAAAGCATCACAGAACACACAGATGGAGGAAGAGCATGTGACACAGAGTCTTATGTGATTAATAGTATATTCTGAGAAGTGCTTGGCATAAATCTGCGCAGTTTAACAGTCAAGAACAAGACGGCACAAGAACAAGTCACCCATTAATGTATATAATAAATCAACAAACCTTGTAATCTTTTCAAGAAACTTCCACCACAATATTAATTTCAGGCTTGCTTGATCTGTACAATGAAATCTTCAAATGAAATATGAAATCTCTGCAGGTTGTTTCACAGCAAGAGCAGAAGAGGATAAAGAAACAGCTGCCTTAGGTTTACAGAGTTTTGGCGTGTTACTATATGAGTGTATGTGCAATGCACTCAAATGAACTCGAAAATAAACATACACGCACAACACACAGGTAGCAGACTAGTGGGGCAGGCAAAAATAAACACTAATTCCTGTGAGAACATGAAATCAGAGCCAGACCAGAATACTGGCAACCTTCTGGAAACCAAACGCACACAGCCAAACTACGCCTGGCACAGCCAACTAGCCTGGATCCTGCCAAAGGGGTCTGGCTCATGCCAGCACCAAAGCAGCTCTCACTTAGAGCGAGAATTTAATATGGAGCAGGCATGGGTGTCAGCAGAGCAGCAAAGATCACGGGCACGTTGAAGACGCCCACTGTAGACTCACCTCAGAGTGTGAAGAAAGCTCTAGAGAGGAGCACAGTCAGTATGAGAGGTGTTATTCAGCACTCTGCCGCTCACTGGGCTTTTTCATGTGGGAGCAGACGTGAAATACCTCTAATAAAATGAGAAATCAGAGTGGATTCCCCACCGCTCAAGATAAACAATGCATATAAAGTAATTACACATATTATTAAGAAAAACACTGGTGCTTGCCCATGTAAAATTCACCATTATGTAGTGCTTACTTGTTGGTAGGGATACAGTACATAAAATATAAAAAGAAATATAACATTTATTGAAAAGAAAGAAAAAGAAAGAAAAAGTCGTCCAATATAAGTGGCAAACAGCTGATATGACAAAAAGGGTATGTTTTGCCTGTGATATCATAACCAATCAAATCTTGCCCTTTTAAAAATTCACCATTATGTGGTGTTACTTTCTGATATTAAAATTGTGGCCAGTATGCTTAAAAAAATAAAAAATAAATACACATTAAAATAAAACAAAACAAAATATAAAATGCTAGAGCTTTTTAAACTTTTTAAAGCTTTTTTTTTTACTGTGCCCCAGTAAAATATTACTGATAAATCTTTGTGTCAATGGGATTGATGTATACCAACGTGAGAATCATTTTCTTTGAAAATATTTAGCAATCATGTTGTGTATTTTATATCAGCTGTTTAGACTCAAAATTAGTGATGCCAGATATGCAAATGAATCACTCTTTTAATCTAATCTGTCAAATGGGTTTGCAAGAAAGTCTGAAATTGTTTGCCATTCAGTTTGATTCATTCAGACAGTTCACTCACACACTGAATTGTTTGCAGCAGTTTCAACCACACACCACATTAGTAATGGGATATTTTATAAGACTTAAAACAAAAAGAGCACTGAATGGGGTGGATATTTACCTACAATTTATATCCATTATTATTATATAAAATATTAAACCGTATCAAAATATGGGCATACTGTTTTGATATTAGAAATGGTACCTACATACTGGCCAAAATCAAAAAGGGTAAGAGATTTTTTTTCCTCCCATTTTATCATAATCCAGATAAAAATTGTGATTTTGTTCCCTTGGAAAAGAACCAACACATCTTTCTCAACAATGAATTGTATTACGAATTCATGTCTGTAGCACAAACAGCGCTTGCTCAATAATGAAAAGACACTATCATTGTTTACAAAAACAGCATTACTTCACTCTCTGTAAAAATGGAGCCACAATGAGAAAAAGCAAAACAGTACAACCATAAACTTTTATTGGTGTTATTAAAATGGATTCTTCAGCTCACTTATTAAGCGCTCAGGTTTCTTAATAAAAGAACTGTAGCTAAACAGCGCCGTGGGTTTGGAAACTACACCAGGGGAACCAGATTTTATTATCAACATTCAGCCGTGTTTGATCAAATCGCTTCTCTCACAAACACAAAAAAACCATCAGCCAACACATAGGCTGATCTTATCAAATGACAGAAGGTTGTCAGCAGATTTGTTTTAGATTTAAAAAAATGTAATCATCACTGCATGCATGGCAGAACCATTATTTATGATTCTAGGTTAATAAAACAAGCAAAAACACAGCAAATGCATTATGGTTTTCAACACACATATGGTATCTAATATCTAATTAGATTGACTCACTAACAGAACATGGTACAATAAAACCTAAGTGAATGGTGTTCAATTTTATTTTATTGTGTGCATCCTTTCTTGTTGACCTTTGAACCCAGTAATCCTTTCCTGACAACAGCATTTTGTCAGAGCACGACCAGCACAATAGGGCTTTACTCTGATAGGAATCCAATAGTGTTAGCACAAACACTCCCGAGAAAGACTGTACATACTGGTAAATCCACACGTTTTTATATGGGATCCAAAAAAAGTTGCTAGTGTATCACGGTCGTTAAGACTCAGACATTGCCACAAAAGTGGCTAGGTTTAACAATTAAGAGTTACTAGGACAGCAGGAGGAGTAATTTTAGAGCCCTCATGCACTGAGACTCGCTGTTTGTTCCACAAAGGGCCTGGTTGGTTCCCATCGCATCCATAATGCCTCCATGGTGAAAGTTTGGCACATTATGTTGGATTGTGTGCAATTGAGCGGGCGAGCGTAATCTCAACACTGCTGTTTGGAGACACATATTGACAATCGTGCTTTTATGCTACTATCAGGGTGCGTTTACAAATCTCCCAGGGTTCCTGTCCGTGTCATGTCTGATTTCAGCCGGCATTCTTTGAGGACGCTGCAATCCATCAGTACAGGGCATGTTCAGCCCATTATCAGTGCACTGATAAGATAATCAAACAAGTCACTCTCTACACAAAATGTTACTATCTGTCTCTCAAACAAATGCACCAACATACTAGGAAGAAACCAAATAAGTGGCACAGATGTTTTTGAGCTTACGAAAAACACATACTGAGAGGTTGAAAACACTTCTATTGTGCTTTTTTCTAAATAGGGACGCCAAAAATATTAGTAACATCCATACGTATCCAAAGTTCTGGCATTAAACTCTATATGGCACAGTCCAATAGGTCAAACTCAATCTGACATAATGGCATCATCAGATGGAACAGCTGTATAGATCTGCTATAAGTTATTCATGTATGCTATATGGGCAGGGCTCCAGACTAACTATTTTTACTAGGAGTACTGTAGCCCCTGACTGAAGATTTTTAGGAGCACAAGCAGAAAATTTCGGGTCACACCTTAAATCAGCCTGCAATGCAATCATTCACATATTTTCCTAATTTTTACTATTATGGACAAGTGCTTTGATAATAAATAGACTTAACTCATAGAAATTGCAATGTGCGGTATTCTTTTAATTTCAGAGGGATATGACAAATATATATATGATATGATAAATTAATATTGTTTTGCATTAACAAGTGCAGTTACTAATAATATTACGTTCATTTCTTGTTTATTTCATGTTTATACACATTTGACAGTAAAGCACTAGGCTTGTAAAGCCTAGCACTAAAATAAAAAAATTTATTTTATTAACAACAGTAACATGGGCAAAATCTAATTTTTATGTAGAAAAGGTATATATTGTACTATTATTAAATGTACCATTATTATTCTATAGTCTTATAT